AAGCTGGAATGGTATAACTGAGAAAAAAATTAAATGTTGAAATCAAAGGTTAAGTAAAAAAATATTGCTACAAAAATCATAGAAATCATTATTAAACAATATCAAAATATGATGCTGTAGGTTTCTGAGACTAACTGCTCACAGGTGTAGACAGCCTCGTCTTTCTCCCAAGGAGTGGCTCGTGGGTTCGAACACTGACTTTGTGGTTAGCCCACTATGCCACAAAGGGTCCTTTTCATAAGTAGCAGTCCTTACATATTTATGAGTCACTGTTCAAATATTGCGTACATCTAACAGCATCACATTTTTTTCAGTTGAGTTAGCAGTTAAAGCACATGTTATTTTCCCATTGACAGTGGATGGTTGGCTGGCCCTATCTCCTAACCTTTGTTCGGTTACCTTTTGTTCTTATCAGGCTCATTAACATCTATTCGGGAATCAGAACACTTCAGCTAGTGTGTTCAGCCAGTCACTCGCTGCTAACGTGCGATGAGTAGGTCTGTCTCATCACTGGAGGAAAGACCTGGTGGCCTGCTTCCAGGAGACTACAGCTGCGTGAGGAGCTTTACTGCACATGGTGCGCAACAGACTCAAGGCATACATCCTTGGACAATTTTATGGGTGATTTTTATGCACAGCCAGGATTGAGAAGGAGGGGTTTTTACTCAAGCTACATGCCAGCAGTAGTCTTATCTTCCTCTTACCCGGCACTGAAACATAACCGTCAACACTGGACGCTGCCACTCCTCACCAAAGCTAACAGGTGTCCGAGAAGTTTGTTTTCTTTAAATGGGTTGGTTTTTTTGAACATACATTTTTTGGTAGGATCTTTGGTATTACCACTAAGTCCAAACCTGTGAACTTTGATACTCAGTCGACAGTAACTATGATCTAAGGAATAGCTTATCTAACTCATTAGTAAATTGAAGATCAGGCATTAAAAACAAAGACTACAGCCTGGAAAACTATCTGGTCAAGACCAGTCAAAATCCGTGTGATGACACAGACCACCAGCAAGAAAAGAAAGCTCGATCACCAACTAGACACAAGACTTGGTTTCCATGACAATTCCATTTTAATGCTCAGAGAAACATGTCTCTTTCTTTTTTTTAAATCATTTTATTAGGGGCTCATATAACTCATCACATTCCATACATACATCAATTGTGTAAAGCGCATTTGTACATTCATTGCCCTCATCATTCTCAAAACATTTCCTCTCCACTTAAGCCCCCCACATTAGGTCCTCATTTTCCCCCTCCCTCCCCGCTCCTCCCTCCCTCATGAACCCTTGATAGTTTATAAATTGTTATTTTGTCATATCTTGTCCTGTCTGACGTGACAAACATGTTTCTACTGATGTTGGTTTCTTCTGGGTTGAAATCTTTATAACTATTTGGCTTGAGAGACAGCAGAAGGAAAGAAATTTAGACCTTAAAAACACAAGTGATGCTCACCATACAGAGAGTAAAGACTACAGATAAGCAGAGGAAATGTGGAACTTAATCTTTGTGCTGGGCATCTAAGGAGGTGAGAGTCCCACTGATGTCAGGGTGTTCTTGCTGAGCCCCATTATTTCCGATGTCCACACATACTGATG